GGGCGGGGGGGGGGGGGGGGGGGGGGGGGGGGGGGGGGGGGGGGAACAGGTAGTCACATGACTGGGGGGGCTTTCCAGAGCTTTCAATAGCTCAAATGAAAGCATTTATAAATTCCCTGCTACTAAAGTAAAAAGATAAATGCCACAGGGTTAGAAGTATCTGGTCATTCTCCTAAACCTTTTCTTCCTTATCCAGGATGAGTTAAAGGCTGTTCAAAGCCGAAATCCACCCTGACTACACAGGTCCGACTGTTCAGAAAGGATCCAGGGGTTTCTCTACCTGGGGCTGCATCCAGACACTGTCCACACAGCCTGAGCCACTCACCTCACTGCCTCTCATTTTTCCAGGGCCCCAAGGCATGCTGCTTGCCACCTCTGGGCCTGAAAGAGTGGGTGGAAGTGAGGAGATGGAGGCATTCCCCTGGGCCTGGCCCTCAGCTGATTACTAAAGAATGAGGAGATTTGTTTTCCAGCATCCAGAAGCTTGTTTACATAACACAATACTAAGGACACACAGCAGTTATCTAGAAGCACTCATATCTGTTAAGGAAACATGAACTTTTTCCTCAGACTACACCTATTATACATCTTATTTAAAAACCTTTTGATTCTATTTATGTCAAAAATAGACCCCATGGAAAAAAAAACATATGTTTATAAAAAATAAAATTAAAAAAAAAAAATAGACCCCATGGTTGGGGCGCCTGAGTAGCTCAGTCAGTTAAGCGTCTGCCTCTTTGTTTTGGCTCAGGTCATGATCTCATGGGTGTGAGGTCAAGCCCCGCATGGGGCTCCAGGCTCAGCAGCGAGTCTGCTTGAAGATTCTCTCCCTCTGCCCCTCCCCCAACTCATGTGTGCACACGTGCTCTCTCAAATAAATAAATCTTCAAATAAAATTTTTTTTCTTAAATAAACCTCATGGCAAAATATGTGTATCTGTTCAGAAGGTCTAGAAGGTAACACAGCAAAATGATAAACATGATGACTCCTGGGCACCGCCAGGCTTGGGAATCGTGGTGAAAGACTTTGGAACTTTGGTTAAAATCCAGGTTCATCCATTTCTTATTGGTATTATCTCGGATAAGCTTCTTACCTTCTAGACTCAGGATCAACTAGGAAAGGGGGAGAAAGCTCTCCACCTTGCAGGACTGCTGTCAAGGCCTGAGATGGCACACGTCATATTCTAGCACACAGCACAGACTCAGGAAGGGCTAGCTGTGATCTATCATTACGTCTGTTAGAAAGGATGGTTGCCAAAAGGCCATACCACTAGCCTCCCATAGCTATAGAAACTGTCTCCTGCTGAAGGAGAGAGCTAAGAGTATCAATCCTCATTCTACAGTCCAAGTTTTGCCTTTGCTTCTCCAGGGTGACCCTAGACTACAGGTCATTGAGCTCCTGGTGGAGACCAAACTGTGTTGGCTTTCTGCATCTGTTTCACCCGTGCCCTCATCCTAAATCCATTCTCCCCCTCTTCTCCAGCAGCTCTATGGCCTGAGGGCTGACCTCTGAGGGGTTGCCTCAGAAGGGCCCTGTGCCCTTTGACTTCCAGCTGGGATCTGCCAGGGGGAAGCACCAGCGCAAGATCTGGGCATTTATTCCCTGCTCCCTCCCCACTCCACCAAATATTGGGCAGCGGCTCTGTCTTTCCTATAGTCCCTCCTCCATGATTCTAGCTCCGGCTGCCTCTGTAAGCAGTCCTCTCATTAAACCCTCTTCAGATAAAACTTTTTTGAAGATGCCATCTGCCTCCTGCCAGGACCCTGACCAAAACAATGAGGGAAGAGGTTCTCTCAGGGGAACTGTAATACTGTTAAATTGACATCAGAAAAGGGAGATACTGAAAATAATTATAAGCTTTGGAGACAGATTAATCATGTCCAGCTCAGGAACCTCTAGGAATTGAAGCAATTTTCATCTAAGTAGATAGGTCACTGGGAAAAAACAGCCTGAGCCTAGAGATCCTGACTTTTCTACAGTGGAGAGCCTACCTCCCCCTTTCTGAAGCAGTAAGAATCCCAGGGCAGGAGAAAGAAGAAACCAGGTACATACACTGTCTCATTTGGATCTGACAACAACAACTTGGTAAGCATGACTATTATCTCCACTTTTCAGGAGGAATGGAGTCATAAAGATATTAATGATCTTGCCCAAGGTCACACTGCTGATAAATGGAAGGAGGATCTGAGCAGTCTAACCCAGTCTAACCCCAGCACGCTCCTAACCCGAGTGTTATACGCACCCCCCATGGGAAGGCTGGGAAATGCAGCTGAGAACCAGGAGAAGCGAAGGCAGGCGGGGGGCCGGGGATGGGGGCGTACAGCCTCTTCCTAACGGTCTCAGCTTCTGAGGGTATCTTCCATGAAAGGTCCCCCACAGTAAAGATGGGGTTGTAGGGACATATTTCAGGCCCTGACTGAGATCATCAGCCACAGAGATTAACCAGAATGGAGAGTATATGTAAACAAAATGCTCCAAGGGACTGTGGCTTATGAAGAGAGACTGTGATAAACTAGGATTCTTCGCAGTATATCAGATACCAACCCAAATCCTGCCTGAACCTTTAGTCTGCAAGAAATCTCTCTCTCTATGCGTAGACCCCTGTAATAACACACAGCCTAAGGACAGATGTTACCCAAATTTGAAAAACGATCCAGAGACAAATGCCTAAACAATGTTTTTGAGAGAGAAAAACAAATACTGTTGGACACACCTGGCAAATTCATCTACAGAGAAATTATCGGCAACTCTATCACTTTTAAAGGAAAAGAATCCCTTGGGCCAAATAATATACCAAGAACACACCACATCTATCCAGTGCCGTCGTCCTAACCCTAACCAAGTGCCGTGCTTGTTAACAGGCTCTTATTCCACCTGCAAAGCAAGGCGGCGTCCTTCTCACACCTACCAGAAATCTAATAAATGAGACCACGGCATATGACAGACTCACCGACAATAGAATAAATATCACCGTAACATGATTTGTAGTCTGGACACAGTGGCTGAGTCGTGACTCTTATTCTGCTTCCCATAACATTTGCTTTTTCTCTGCTTTAATCTATCTCACTCTTGCTGAAAAGGGAAGGTATACAGGTGAGTGGATGAAAGATTCAGCTTTGTGCCTATCACCTATCATTCAGTCATCCAAGGAGAAAATCAGCCGACAAGGAACAGTGTTTGTACTGAATAGTAGAAAACAGCACGTTAAGATGTAATGTCAAATGGTTTCCTAGTATTAACACCCTGCCAACCAATCAGCCAGTCTGTATACGTGTTTTTTCCTAATGCAATCTTGAACCACTCTGTATTCTAGCTTTTTAATGGGCTGCACGGAACTCATTCTGCAAACAAACCTGGCTGCAGAGATTTTAAGAGCAGCAAAAGGTCACCAAAAGTGATCTGCAAAGCCCTCCAGGCTCCATCTTACCAGTCGAGCCAGCCTGAGAAGCCTTGCCACTCATCCGCTCCTCGGCACTGATGAGCTGCAGGTCTGTGTATGAGGGATCAAAACTGGGGCTACTGGTATCTTCAGAATGTGTGGTCCAGCTGCTCTCGGAGGTCAGAGGGCATCTCCTCAGGGAGTCGAAGGAAGGGCACGTCCAGCAGGGCATGGTCAGTGGCAGGGCTGGAGGACAGACCAAATGCAAAAGCAAGCAGTATAAATAGTTGTGCTTTGTTGGTCTTTCATGCTTGTCTTACCTTGATTGATGGTGCTCGGATCCTGTGAAATCTTGACAGCCATACAAGGCAAGGAAATGATAGAAACATCACTTATGATAGACAGGGGAAAATGACTGACTGAGAGCTCACCGTCAGTCAGTATCAAAACCAATACCATGAAGAAGGGAGTCTCCTGACTCTCAGATGGGAGAAAATCTCGCTAAGGAAAAGCAGTGATTCCCAGCTCTAATTCTATTTCTAAACTGCGATTTCCACTTCATCCAAACCAAAGCTTCATGAGTCCTACCGTTTCCCCCTTACCCTGCCTCCATTTTTTAGGGGGCATGCCAACAATCTCAGGAAAACTCACCCAATTACACTGCAAAATCAGAGCTAGGTTAGGTTACAGGATAAGAGAAGATAGGTGAATATGGATGTATTCGCCTAGGAATGGGATACGGCCCTGCTTGAGGCTGACTGTAACCAGAGAGTCTGCAGACCATACAGATACCACGTGAGATCTCCTGGGGCTGCTGATCGGTAATATAACAGACAAGAACTTCCAGGGGGAAATGCACAGGGCTTGACTTTCTCTCCTGAATGCCGAGCATGGAACCGAGACTTTCAAAACCGCTTTGGAAAGTTTCTTTTTTTTTAAACAAAATTTTCAAATGTTCTTCATTTGTCTTCAGTAAATAACCTACCACACGGTTTCTCCAAGGTGTTACATGAGGATCTTCTCGCAAATTTATTAATAAGTACTAAAAACAAGGGCCGAAAGGAGTGTGGACAGAGGAGGAAGAACAAAAGAGAAGGAAATCGCGTTTCTTGGGTCCTTACGAAATGTCAGGCACTTTTACAAATATTACCTCATTTCACTACCAGTTCTGAGAGACAGGCAGTGGTGTTATTTGACACAAGGGAAAACTGACTCGAGAGGTTAAATGGTTTGTTCAAGAAGGGTCAGTTCTCTGGGGTGCCTGGGTAGCTCAGTCGGTTGAATGTCCGATTTCTGCTCAGGTTATGATCTCAGGGTCATGGGATCGAGCCCTGTGCTGGGCTCTGTGCTCGGCACAGAGTCTGCTTTCCTTCTCCCTCTTCTCCTCCCCCTTCTCTCAAAAATAAATAAAATAGAATCTTTTAAAAAGGTGGGGGGAGGTAGTTCTCCTAGCTGGAGAATCAAAATTATAGTGTTGGCTTCAGAGAAATATGGGTTAAGATAAAATTGAGAAAAAAGAATAAACAGCAATATATGTGACATGTGGAACAAATATGAAACCAGAGAATTTTCATTTAGTATTCTCTTACACATTTGTAAGACATGCAGGTCGTCTCTGTCTGGAGTACTCATGGCTCACTTTGCTTTTGCTTGAAAAACGTTAACCTTCTCAGGCCCCTGGGTGTCTCAGTCGATTAAGAATCTGCCTTCAACTCAGGTCAGGATCCCAGGGTCCTGGGATGGAGTCCTACATTGGGCTCCCTGCTTAGCAGGGAGTCTGCTTCTCCCTCTGCCCCTTCCCTCTGCTCATGATCTCTAATAAATAAAATCTTTTGAAAATAAATAAAAATGAAATGAAAATGTTACCCTCTCAGTAAGGTATTCCTGAGCTGTTCTCTCCAAAGATACAAAGTCCCTTCTCTCCTTCATTTCTCCTTAGCATTATCACCATCTAATGTACTACATATCCAGTGTCTTCCCCACTAGAGTTTAAGCTCCTTGGTGGGAAGCCAGGAATTTTGGTCCATTTTGTTTACTTCTGTACCCCCATTCCTAGAATAATGTCTGGTGTGAATAGGTACTCAATGAATATTTGTTGGTTATGTCAACAGAAGCACCAGAAATCACTCATAACAGTCTATGGTAAGTACAGACTCTTAAAACTAAACTTGTACCTATAAAACTCGAAAGGCTAAGGAAGTAAAAAAAAGCCAAAAGCAAAGCTGAACTTGTAAAGACTTTTTATAGGACTGCTATTTCCTACAGTATAATGGATTAGACACTTTAAGCTATTGGGGAAACAAAATTAAAATATTAGGAAAATGTAGTAACATTATTTAAAATACATTACAGCATGAGCAAGAAAGCAAAGAATTGTCAGAGGCCAAGTTCAAGTTAGAACCCAGAATGGTAAACAGCACACAACCTGATTTTCATACCCTGAGGCATGTAAACAAACCAGGGAGACTCTTGAGTTTTTTTAAATGTCTTATGAGAAGGCAAAAGGAGGAAAAACCTATGGCTAACTCAAGATGGGAAATCTAACAAAAGATGTGATGCAAGAAGCTTGAATTCCCAAAGGGATCTGTTCAAGGGCAAATTAGGAATAAATTCTACCCCCAAGCTAAGGATAGCAAAGACAATGGTCTGTCTTAAGACTGGGTACAAGGTAGAGAAAAGAAACCTCCTGAGAATTTATAACTGTAAGCTGTCTCACATAGGGGCTTGCAACTAAAACTACTTGTGTGGTCTGAAAACCTTCCAGTTTGAGAACACAGTTGAGGTATTTGCAGGTTGGCAGTGGCCTCAGGCACCTGGGAAAAGCAAATACACCATACAGTACATCATAAATACTTTAAAGTAGCCTATAGACTTTAAAGAAAGATACCTCAAAGCCAGCCTTCCCAGACAGACTGTTCCTCAGTTTCACATGGAAAAATCAAATAATCAAATAAATAAATAAATAAAAATAAGTAAATCACAAAATATATAAGAAATCAAATTACCATAAACACAAACCAGAGAGCCTGTAAGGTGTGGGGGTGGGGTGGGGGGAATACCAAACAGAATCAGACCTGCAAAGAATTCAGATTCTAGAATTATTAAGCAAGAAATGTAAGTATATTTACTACATTTAAGGAAACAAAGAAAAGAAGAAAAGGAAATGAAAATATTAGAAAAGAACACACAGAGCTGAAAAAGAACTAAATGAGCTTCTGGAGAATTAAAATACTACTGTAAATACAAAATTGTCCAGACAGTATAGAAAGACAGAGAAGGAAACATGAAAGACAGATTAAAACACGCGGGAGCAGAGCCTCACTGGCTCAGTCCATGGAGTGTGCGACTCTTGATCTCAGAGTTTGAGATCCCACGTTTGAGTGTAGAACTTAGTTAAAATTAAAATATTTAAGACACATGGGAGAGAAAATGGGAAGGTCTTGTAGATATCTGTATAACCTGAGTTCCTAAGGAGAAGAGTGAGAGAATGAGAGGCAATATTTAAAAACAAAACAAACAAAAAATCCTTACTGAGAATTTCCCAGAATTTATGAAAGATTTTATTTGTCATATTAGAGTATCTCAAGAAGTGTATCTCAAGAAATGTAACCAAAAACAAGTGTGCAAGTAGACATCAAACCATACAAAACCAAAGACAAAGAGAGATCTTAAATAAGATTACTTTCAGAGGAATTATGATTAGGCTGACTATCACCTTTACACCAAGAGAAGCCAATGCATACGTCAATGAGCTGACAGAAAATAACTGTCAAGTAGGATTATATACTCAGTGAGGAGATCTTCAGAGGTCAAGGGAATAATAATGATAATCTAAACAAACAAAAACTACAATTAATCTAAAAGAAGGAAAGATGAGAAAAAGAAGCATGATATTACAGAAATAAACTGTATCAGTGCTTGATAATAAACATAAATGGACTAAAATTGCCAGCTAAAAGAAAAAGACTATCAAGCTGAAAAAAAACAAAAACAAAAAACAAAAAAAAAAACAAATGAAATCCAATGTGTTGTTCACAAAAGACACATCTAAAATACAAAGATTTGTCAATGATGAAAGTAAAGGGATGAGAAAATCAAACAGGACAATATATTAATATATTATATATAATGCTACATATATAATACATAGGAATATATAAGATATTAATGGAAAGAACCTGATATATTGTAGCCTATAGACTTTAAAGTAAAAAGCAATACTAGAAAGGATCACAATCAAATTATATGTTTTAATTCATCAGAAATATAGTAATTCTAAATTGGTATATATTTAATAACTTAGTCTCAAAATTATTAATACAAAACTAACAGAACTGCAGAAAGCAAGAAATGTCCATCATCATAATGGGAGATTTTTAAATAAACCTCTCTAAATAACTGATAGATCAAGCAGACAGAAAAATCAGCAAGGAAACAGAAGATATAAACAACAAAATGAACAAGCTGATCTAATGGTCATACATAGATCAAGAGATGAAGAATACATATTCCTCATAACCCACATCCAGAACTCTTATAAGCAACTGACCACGTGCTATGACATAAAGCAGATTTTAACACATAACCAAAACTGGCATCAGACCGTGAACACCGATCACAATACAATGAAGTCTCTAGTTATCCAAATCACTTATCTAAATACAACTCGCATCTATTTATCTAAACTAGATAGAAGATGATTTGAAAAATTTAGAAACTAAGAAACATGCTTTCAAATGATTTGTTGGTCAAAGAAGAAATACTAATGAATATTAGAAAACATTCAGAACCAAACAATAATGAGAATAGTATGTGTTAAAACTTTAAGAATGCAAGTAAGCCGTACTATCAGGAACAGCTGTATTGCTTATATTAAAAAAAAAAAAACCTGAAATTTAATACAATAAGCTTCCAACTTATCTAGTTACAAAAGGAACGGGGCCCCTGGGTGGCTCAGTCATTAAGGGTCTGCCTTCAGCTCAGGTCATGATCTCAGGGTCCTGGAATTAAGCCCCACATCGGGCTCCCTGCTCAGCAAAGAGCCTCCTTCTCCCTTTCTTCTTCCCCCTGCTTGTGTTCCCTTTCTCACTGTCTCTGTCAGATAAAAAAATAAAATCTTTAAAAACAACAACAACAACAACAAGGAGCTGCAAAATAAAATAAAGATTTCTAGGAAAGATTTTATTTCTAGGAAATAAAAAATTATTTCTTAGAAAGGAAATAATAAACATAAAAGCATAAGTTAT